TAGCCGCCCGGTAAAGAGCGACGGTCCGGGGTTAGAGCCGGGATGGGATCGTGGCTTCGCTTCCTTAATCCCGGCTAAGGAGCGCGTGTCTCCCGAGCAGGGCGCAGCGAGCTCCTGTCAGGCAGAGCCGCAGGCAGCGCGGGATTTTCCTCTGGTTTCCTGCTGGAAAACCCAGACCACAGGGCCAAAGGGGAGTCGGAGTGATGGGATGCTGCCATCCTCGCCGGAAAGTCTCTTTCTCCGGCTGGATTCCACTCGGGGCGCGAGATCCCTGCGCTCCTTGGGTCACGGTGGCGATTTTTGGGTGCCCATGGAGCGCTTCCCATGTGGGCCGGAACCTCCGGGGCCGCCTGACGCATCCCGAAAGGTCTTGCGGGGAGTAGGACGGAGGGGTTGTGCCGCCACGTGCGCGATGGCTCTGTGGGGTCCCACCCGCCTCCCGTCGCCTGTCCTGGTTTCCCTTCGCCTTCCCCCTCGTTGCTGTTTACCCCAAATGCCGGTTTTATCTCTCTCCGGGTTCAGGTTTCTGGGCAAGATGCTGGTAATTGACGAATTCTGCCATAAAAAGAACCAGTCACGAGATTCCGGAGACGCATCAGACCTGCAGCGGCCCCGACGGCGCGGCCTGCTGCTGCGTTTAGGGAAAAATAACCCCTAAATCCTCCCAACGCGGCCGTTTTGAGAGGGAAAATGCCCTAAGGGAATTGGGTGAAGCATCCTCCCGGTTCGGTATCGCTCGGGAAACGCTTGACTGGGGGTGGCTCCGTGGTGGCGTTGTCGCTCCCACGCGGAGCCGAGCGTTCCTCCCGCGCGTGGGTGTCTGTGCTTGTCGGCCTCGGAATTCCCAGGGCGAAGCCGAAAGGCCCAGGTGGGTGGTGATTTTTTTTTCCCTTTCCAAGAGCTCGTGGCCTATCCATTCCCGTTATTCCCGAGGCTGGAGCTCTTGCGACAATACCCCGCGTGTTCAGCTCCACCTCCATCCTGCTTTGTGGGCGACCGGGCCGGCTGGCGGGACGG